AGGGAAAATTAAATTGCTGACTTTTTAGACATTCTACTTTCACCCTCAACTTTCATCACTTATTTTTCTAAAAAACCATATTTTCTAACTAATACCCTCAACTCAAAAAGTTACATCTTTTTTGACGAAAATACCCCTTCCCGTACACCTTCACTGTACAAACAAAATATTTGGACGGACCCCAATAATACTTTCGTCGGACCGTGGTTATTATTTGCCGGACTTATGACATATGTCGGACTGCATTTCTACAATACTAGACTGCTTATTTAGACAATGATATGCCGGACTGTAGATTACTAATGCCGGACTACCCTACTCCTGTATCTAAAACGCCAGACCGAGACCATGAAATGCCGGACTTACGTCTCTAGTAAGAAAATCACTGGAACGAAGCTCCGTAACGCTAGACCGCAAGTAAGATATTGCTAGACTGCATCCTACCAGTGCCAGATAGATCAACCCTAATGCCAGAGCATAGCTGTTAAAATGACGGGCTTAACATCATATTCCAAAACCACACACCGAACCGAACATTACAAACACCAGATTGAGCCCACTCCAGTATGTAACTTACTGGAGCGCTACTTCCAATTGCCGGATTGCCACATTATAGTAAACAACTCGCCAGACCTGGCATATAAATTACCGAACTAGATGCAGGAAAAAATGGGCAAGTGGAAGAGGAAAAAGGTAAAAGTTAAAAAGGGAGGGTAATTTTATTTATTTTTTCTATATTTTTTTGGGTGGGGGTATTAGTTAGAAAAGATGGTTTTTGAGAAAAATAAGTGAGGATTAGAAAGTATATTTTTAAGGCTTTTTAGCAATTTCCCCTTATATTAATGTATTGAAGTTTCTCCTAAAATTTTACTGTACTTTGGCTTCTGATGTTTGCTCGGTAGTGATGGTGTATTCCCAATTGTGCACTGGTGGTCTTTGTGTACGTGAATTTCTGTCGACTCAACCCTCCTCTCTCACACACAAACATCTCTCTCTCTCATGTGACAAATAAAAGCAAATCTCTCACTACCCCCACAAACCTAGCTCTCTCTAGAATTATTAGATGATAATATCTATAGGAAAATTACATCCTTTAATATAGATTTAAGTCCTAGTCTACTCAAACCCTGTTTGAGATTGAGAGAAAAAGAAATAAAGCTGGTATCGAAATCCCTTTATTCAAAACTGATATGAACTGTATATTTTTTAGTATCACAATTTGATTGCCACTGCATATATAAGTAATTTTATTAAAATTTCAGAATAATTAATATGGTGCCATATTTCTCATTTTCAGATCCTTTTTTATAAGGGTGTGGTTTGTATAGAGCCTAGGCTCTAAACAATCAAATTAGAGCCTACCTTCCAATAGTATTGATAAATGTGGTTTTAATACTGAAAATCTTTGTGATACTCTTAAAATATATTTTCATATTTTTTTATAAAGTTTAAAGCTTAAAAAATAGTATAGATTCACAGATCTATGAAAACTTGAAAATCTTGAAAATGACGGTCCAAAAATGTGCTTTACAAAATACCCTATTTCCAAAACTTGAAATCTATTTCATGCATCTTGATGTCGAGATTTGAGGAAATTTGGACATCAAAACAACATCTTCTAGTGAAATTTTTGAGATAGGCTCTAATTTGATTGTTTAGAGCCTCGGCTCTATGTAAATTTTTTTCTTTTTATAATACATATATAAATTTAAACAACAACTTTCTAATTAATTGTTAAAAAACAAACAGAAAGTTGGAAGTTGTTATTCAAATAAGTAATACATGCTTTGTATCCTAGTGGTAACATGGCTCAAACAAGAAAAAGTAATACATGCTTTGTATCCTAGTGGTAATATGGCTCAAACAAGAAAGCACACAAACGAGAAGTGAAATGTAACGTAATATGACTGACATGTCCTCATTAGATCAGATAAATGCCATCATCAAACATCCACATAGTTTTTACAGTGAATCTAGAGAGGACTACAAAGGCTAGAGTCTTTAATCCACATCAACAAACTATTTGCTCATCATGGGCTCTCATGAAATCCTCTGATCATCAACAGAAACCTGCATTGTGGCCTTAATAACACCAACAACACCTATGGTGAGCTTGTATACTTGAGCTGTTCTTTGGTGATATTTCAATACATTGTCAATGATCTTGTCTACTTGTGCTGTTCTTTGGTGATATTTCAATACATTGTCATGGAGCCACTCTTTGATTTTAGACCCACCCCATTTTTATGATAACTGATATGTAATACCCCACCCCATTTGTGTGATAACTGATATGTAATCAAGGCATTGTTCTTAACTTTCACATCTTATATTTGTAATTTTCTTTGGCGATTTTAGACCCACCCATTTTTGTGATGACTGGTAAGTAATATTTAAGGCATTCTTTTTAACATTCACATCTTATAATTGTAGTTTTCTACCCCGTTTATGCTTGACTTTCTCCTCTTTCCAAAACCAATAATGATTTTATACAAAGTATATATCCTCTTCACCCTCTAAATGATTCTTTTTCTTCTTGTTAACCCTATAAACGATTCTTTTTCGTCTTGTTATAGTTTCTTTTTCTTCTTGTTAAAGTTTCCAAGGCTTCTTCATTAGCATGGTAACTATAATCAGAGCTCTGTTTGGACTGCAGAAAGCTTTAGTCAGTAGACAAAACAAGTCTTAAGTTTTCGTTTCTTTAATGCTATACTAAATAGTCATTGCGGTCCATAATTTCCATTTTAACACCATTCTTAAAAAAGCACCATTTGGTTGACAAAGTGATATTTGAAAACTTGGCTTATTTTCCAATTTAATCTCAGAAACTCACACAACCACCCCGAATGAAACCAGGTGATCCTCGAAGAATTCTGTACACCAATATGGTTCCAACAAATCAGAGCAGCCTAACGCTGATGGAATTGCCCATCAGCACTATAGCCAATAGAATTGCTCCAATAAGTCCAATAAGTCGAGAATCAAGCAACCAATTGGACCCAACTTATTATTCGCTTCTTCAATCTATTGTTTCACCTGATCTAAGTTCAAACATTCACCAAGAAGCTAATAGACACAGTTGATATTTTGTATGATAAACAAGTGGCAACTCCAGGCCGCAATGGAGGATGACTCGGTGCCCCCATAATGGTGCTGGAAGTGTCTGTGTTTTTCTCGAGGCAGAGAACCATGTGAACCATCTCTTAGAAGGCTTAGATCACAAGAAGAGGAGAGAAAGCAAGAAGGATTGAGGAGCAGAATTTGCTGATCACACTGTTCTCCATAATTCTAAGGTTTATGCTAAGGTATATTCAATACATAGAACGATCAAACCCCTGATCATATGACATTCTTTTGTTGCATTACTATCTACTGATTTTGTCATTGCTATCTCATCAGTTTATTGAAGTAGATCAAGTCAATGATGAGATCTTAAGAAAGATGAAGGAGCAATGTAGCGAAAAGCCTCAACGCCACCTCTTCCGCTTGCTCCATATAGAACTGTAGGCAAAATTGCGGCATAGGATTTGGAATTTCCTAAAAGGGGTTCGTCTTACCAGTTTCTTATGTCCTATTCTAGATTGTCTTGCTACCTTATTTAGGGTGTATTCTAGAAGACTGCACTACCCACTTACTGAAGCTAGAATAGTGGTCTCCTAAAATGCTTTTAATTCTTTGTTGTAAAACACAATTATTGCAGTAATTTGTTAATTTGTTAAAGACATTCAATGAGTATGATTTCATGCTAATTGTCAAGCTTTGGATATGTATAACTATTCCAACTACCCTTGTATTCGTTTCTTGAGTTTTAATTACTCTGTCTGTTATTGTAGGCTAGCAAGCTTTATGAGCTGCACCTTTTCACCATGGGGAGTAGACCATATGCCACAGAGATAGTGCTTGATCCCAACGGGTCATTATTTGCAGGGTGTGTTATTCCAAAAGCCAATAAAGGTGACCCACTTGATAGGAATGAGAGAGCCAAAATGCAAGGACTTAGATGGGGCCTTAGGCACGGAATCAGCAGTGGTTGTCATAGATGATTCTGTTCATGTTTGGCCCCATAAGAAGCTCAAGTTGATCAATGTGGAGAGGTACAGGCATTTGATTTGGAATTGCTATTCTCTTCAACTGTTTAAAAAAAAAAAATATTTATTTCTTCTTTAGCTTCTTTGGAAAATTTCAACTTGGTTTGTTCTCTTTATATATTGTTTCTCTCTCTTAGTAATGGATGTTCCTTTGCAAGTCCTTGGGTCTAATTGTTTTCTTTTCCTTTTCTTGCAAATCAAAAGAAACCAACCTGTTCTTGCAAACCGACCACATCTTTTTTCTCTGCCTGAAAAAGAAAAAAAAATGGCTGTTAATCCCTTGACCTACAAGTATGACAGTTTACAAGTATGGCATTTTTACACAAAGAATCAGCTTCTCCAATATTATCACTAAATCAAATATGAGATATAATGAGACCACAAAGCCTCCAAAAGAAACGATAATGTACCAGAAATCAAACTAGCATCCCATCCAAAATACATAGCACACTACTGGCTAATATAATCTAAAGCAAACAATGAAACACTAGCAACAAACACATCTTGCAGAACAGTACATCACTGCAAGCCCAGTGCTTAGATATTGCAAAGTCGTGAGAAGCATGATCTTTAGAATTTATTTAATAACACAAACAGGAGAAAACTCAAAAACCATAGATATTTGGGAATTGGAACCATCCTTGATAAGTGAAAAACAGATGGAGACATATCTATTGAGACTTTAAAAATCATAATCAACCAAATTCTGAGCCCAGCATCTAGAAAATTTTCATGAACATAGTGTAGGAATAGCTCTTTAAAAAACGAAACACACCTTCTTGTTGTTTGCCGCATCTGCTGCTTGTTTGACCAGGACAGTCCCTTTAGCAGTTACATGCTGCACCACAACACGCATATAAGCCACAACAATTTAAAAACAAAAAAAACAAAGAAGAAAAGGGCCTCAAACTTTCATTCCTTTAGAAACAGGAAAAAATTTCATTAGAATCTTATAACCCACAAAAAAAAGGAAGTGATTGTCGAATAACATTGACCTGCTTAAATATGTGGGAAACTGGGTCCAACCTTTCGGGTATTCTATAGAAGAGCCCATACATGTTTGAAAGATCATCCACCTAAGAGAAGATGGAAACAATAACCAACTGAGCCTCTTAACTGATATGGATTGCTGAAGCTCAAACAGATAAAACCCATCATAACAGCACAGTGCATCATGAATCTATAACATAAAGCCCACCTTGTCATCTCGCAGCAACGCATGACAACCAGAGTCCTCCTTTTCCAGAAGTTTGACTTGTATATACAAACAGTAGTTCATGTTGTACTTTCTGCCACACAATAAACCAATCGAGTCTCTCACATCAATAAGAAGAATAAAGGACTTGCATTGCATATAATCTCACTCATTTTAAATTTGAATGGCTGCCAATCTTTTGCCAGTATGTCTGAACAACATTTAAGTCACAATTTATCTGGAGGTAGACCAGAGTCTAATGAAACAAACCTCCAATAACTTCTGCTCACTACTAGAATGCAAATAATGTTCGTTTCCAACATTCCTCAGCCTGCAATTCAAAACCATAATCAGTTTGTAAATTTGTAAATCCTATTCAATGATCTTGCAAAACATACTACAGTCCAATGGACTACAGAATGTCAATGTCCATTACAGTCTTCACTGTCCAATGATAGGATCATTGGTTCAGTGCAGAACCCACCAAAACAGGACAAGGCCCGAATGGTGGCCTCGCACACTCTGCATCACAATCCATCATTTCTCAAATGACTCCAATGGATCACGGTTTTATGTAGTCTGGAACTATAATATACTTTTCCCCAATAATTCAACTTAGATTCTCTTTTCGTTCTTTAAAAGACCAAAATTAAACTCATGAATGACCTTTAGCATATAATCGGGGCAGGAATCCTCCATAATCCAGGATGTAGCCTTCCGCGAATAGTATGAGGCAGTGTCAGCGAGCATCTCAGTCTCAAAGTCATCGACGTAGCAATCCATATGTCCCATTCCAATCTCCACGAAGATATCCAGAACATTCTTTAACAAAGCACGATCAATCTGCTCTCCTTCACGTTCTTGATCAATCTACACACAGTCTCTCTGTTAAATATCTTCGAATATAAAGAAAATGGACTTCAAAGTTCATTGATGGATGTAAACTCACTAAGGCAATCACAGCATCTCTGACTGTAACACGCATTTCCTTGTAGACCTGATATTATAAGAATGAAGATTATGAATTTAATGAAAGACAAAACTGGTAAGCCAAGACATGGCTGTCAAAAGCATTAGTAATTTCAATTCTCAGAGATGGGAACAGTTGCTAATACATATTAAAACCACAGATTGGCTTCACCAAATCACGAAAGCATTGGAGGCCAACATCATTCAGACCCAAAAGTGATCTCTGTGCAATGAAGAAACGACCAAGATAGCGAAAGAAGCGCGAAAGCCATCTGACCATGACTTTGTGATTAGACCACCTCTTTACAAGTTCTCTCAACATAAATTCATCATGCTTCTCCCTTAACGCAGGCATCACCTACATGCAGAAAAATGCTTTCAGAGAATCTTATCAATGCGATGCTCATGTTCCCTATAACTGTTGGAGTTATATATTCATGCCCAGTCACTGCAAAAATGAATGATGCAAAGATAATATAATTACTTTCCTCATTAAATACCTTACCTTGACATGCACTCCTCTAGAATTATCACTTTATAATAGACATTTAAGAAGTGGTAGAGGAAAGTCATGCAGTACAAGTATATAAGGGAGTCCCAAACCCACTCTAAAGACCCCATTCCAGGCTAGCAGCCAGCTTAACGACCCTCGAAACAAGGAATGTCTTGATCTTCTACATTCCAGTACAGCTTAATGCGCCCCAAAAAACTAAGCCAACACGCAACCCTACTCCATAGTCCAAACATTAACCTATTCCCATCCATAGCCTTAAAACTAATATTCTTCTGAAACTCTCACAGCTTCATATCTATTGCCCACGAGAATACCTTAAGACGCTCTAAACCACCTTAATTTCCCAACCCTTCACTAGATCCTTGTTGCTTGTGGTGATGCTCCCCAGGTCTCCAGTTTACATCACCAATTATGTCTTACTGAACTCTCTCACCCTCTCATGCTCTTTGTTTCGAGTATGCACACATCTCATGCATAGGCATTGACAAGACATGGTGAATATCAAAACAGTAACAAATTACAAATCAACCTATAGATTACTCAAAGCAACCAATTATTCCTCTTTCACATAAAAAAGGAAGGTATCCATCAAAAAGTTCAAAGAAAAATTTATACATCAAAAAGTTAAAAAAGTAAAACTAACTCATCAAAGTACACAACAACGGATACTTATTACATGATAAAGATTATGAGAAATGTATATTGAACAAATAGCATGAAGTTACATTCAAAATTCAAGGCATTCAAAAAGTTAATCATTTGTTTACATAACAATTTCCATTTATATATCACACAAGAACGGATTTACAGCATCAAGGAAGCCCGTAATGTAAAAAAACAATAAGTTAAACATATGAGGGTTGTCAATTTTGTCCTCTAAAGATGGAACCAAGCATACATGAAAGAGAGTTGTGAATACCACACACATCCAACCATGTGTGAACATATAAATGTATGGCATTGTATATGTATGTACAAATAAGAAATGACATAGATTACCCCAGAATTAGAAGTCTCGGGTCGCTGCGCAGAGACTCAAAGAGAGGGCCCTCTCTCTGGTTGCTCTTTATAGTGAGAAATTTAGAGAAAAAAGAGCAGGAAAAATAAAACAATGCTCAAGGAAGACATGGAGTTTCGGATCATATCTTATAAGAGAGAGCCTCTTCGCCTGCCGCTTGCCTCTTATTCAGAGAGACACAGAGAGAGAGACTGCTCCCCTTGATTGATTGCTTCTTTTTACAAAGAGAGACAGAGAGAGCTCCCCTTATAGACTTCTTTTTAGAGAGAGAGAGAGCTCTCTCTTACTTTTCTAGAGAGAGAGAGAGAGAGGAGATTTAACAAGGAAGGATGAGTAAGTTGCAATTCATATATATCGTGTGTTTTTGTACTCTGTTGTTTTTATTAATGTACTGAAGTTTCTCCCCCTAAACTTTTACTCCACTTGGGTTTCTGGTGTTTGCGTGGTATCGTCTGTGTATTTCCAATTACGCATGGCTGCTCTCTGTGTACGTGAATTTCAACACTCTCTCTCACACGCAAACATCTCTCTCTTATGCGTCGACGCCGACACACAAGTAAAACCAAATCTCACAAACCTACCTCTCTCTAGAATTATTAGATGATATTATCTATAAGAAAATTACATCCCTTAGTATAGTTTTAAGTCCTAGTCTACTCAAACTCTATTTCAGATTGAGAGGAAAAGAAATAAAGCTGGTATCTAAATCCCCTGATTATAAAACTGATATGAATTGTAATTCTTTTAATATCATATTTTGATTGCCACTGCATATATAACTATTTTTATTAAAATTTCAAAAAAAACTAATATGGTGCCATATTTCTCATTTTCAAAATCCCTTTTTTTTATATTTTTATTATTATTATAATAGCATATATTAATTTAAACAACTTTGCAATTAGTCTTAAAAAAAGGAAAAAAAAGTTTGTAGATGTTATTCAAATAAGTAATATATGTTTTGTATCCTTTAGGAAACATGGATCAAACAAGAAAGCACACATTTGATGAAGAGGAAGAAATCATTCGTAACCAAAACTTCAAACGGCACAAAACGAGAAGTGAAATGTTACCAAATTTGGCTAACGAGGCCTCATTGGATCAGATAAATGCCATCATCAAAAACCCAAATAGGTTTTTACATCAATCCAAAGCGAGCTAGAGAAGGAAAGAGCAAGAAGGATTGAGGCGCAAGATATTTGCTGCCCAAAAACTTACCCTTGTGTTGGATATAGATCATACCCTTCTCCATTCTGTTAAGGTATATTCAATACTTTCTATTACTTAGAAAGATCAGACCCTAATCATATGGCATTCTTTTGTTCCATTACTATCTAGTCATTTTGGCATGGACATCTCATCAGTTCAATGAAGTAGATTAAGTGCATGACGAGATCTTAAGAAAGATGGAGGAGAAAGACATGAAGAAGTCTCAGCGCCACCTCTTCCGCTTGTCACATATAGGGATGTGGACCAAATTGCAGCTTGGGATTTGGAATTTCCTAAAAAGGGTTAGTCTTACCAGTTTCTTATGTTATATTCTAGATTGTCTTGCTAACTTATTCTAGAATCTAGACAGCAGTACCCACTTACTGAACCTAGAATAGTGTTCTCCTAAAACGCTTTTAATTCTTTGTTGTAAAACACATATACCATGGCATTTTCTTAATTTGTGAAACATTCAATGAGTATGATTTCATGTTAATCCTCAAGCCTTGGATTTGTATAACTATTCCATCTACCCTTCTATTTGTTTCTCGAGTTTAGGTTACTATTTCTGTCATTGCAAGCTAGCAAGCTTTATGAGCTACACCTTTGCACAATCGGGAGTGAAACATATGCCACAGAGATAGCTAAGGTGCTCGATCCCAACGGGTCCTTATTTGCAGGGCGTGTTATCTCAAAAGCCAATAAAGGTAATCCGTTTGATAGGGCTGAGGCAGGAAAAATGCAAGGACTTGATAGGGCCTTAGGCCCAGAATCAGCACTGGTTATCATAGATGATTCTGTTCATGTTTGGCCCCATAACAAGCACAACTTGATCAATGTGGAGAGGTACATGCATTTGATTTGGAATTCCTATTCTTTTCAAATATTTAATTTATTTATTTCTCTTTAGCTTCTATGGAAAATTTCAACTTGGTTTGTTCTCTTTATCTAGTGTTTGTCTGTATCAGTAATAGATGTTCTTTTGCAAGTCCTTGGGACTAATTGTTTGGATTTCTTTTCCCTTTCTTCTAGGTACATGTACTTCCCGCGTAGTAGACGCCAGTTTGGACTTAATGGGCCATCTCTTCTGGAAATGGGCCGTGATGAAAGGGTTGAGGATGGAACAATATCCTCGACTTTGGAGGTGAAACCACTATCCATCAAAAGCCAAGTCAATTATTTATTTTATTTAAAATAAGCAAGTGTTTTTTAGCTTTTGAGTTTCTTTTTTTTTTTTTTTGCTTGTGCACACGTTATCGAAAGGTTGCCCGAGGGCTTTTTCTCCTATTCCTCTTAAACAAAGTGGAGGTAAGTGATCTTTTAAATTTCAGAGAGAGAAAGTATCTTAAAATTCTAAAGAGAGAAACTATATCAAACTTTAGAGCTAAACTCTTAAATTTTAAATTTTAAAGAGAGAAAGTGTCTAAAAAGTACTATCTCAAATTTTAAGTTTTAAAGAGAGAATATTTGAAAAATTTTAAAGAATCTTTGAAAAAAATTTAGAAAAACTATCACCAAATTTTAGAGAAAAACTACATCAAATTTTAGGTTTTATAATGATGAATTATCTTAAAATTGTAAAGAGAGAATCGACCTAAATTTTAAAAAGATAAACTATCTCAAAACTTTTAAAAAGAAAAACTATATCATATTTCAAGTTTTAGATAAAAAAATATCTTAAAATGTTAGAGAGACAAATTACATCAAATTTTAGAAAGAGAAAGTACTTAATATTTTTAAAGAGAAACTATCTCGAATTTTAAGTTTTAAGGAGAGAAAATATCTTAAAATTTTAGAGAAAAAACCATATCTAATTTTAAAAAGAGAAACTACTTGAAATTTTTTAGAGAGAAATTATCTCAAATATTTAGAGGGAGATTCAAATATTTAGATAGAGATATGAGGACTTATAGCTTCAATAAAAATATAACCTTTAATAAAACATAATTACGGACCAAGATTCGTGTAGTCGATCCCAATTAATTAGAAAAAAACTATGATGATGATGATTTAAAGAGAGACTTAAATTTAATAAAAACAAAAGAGACATTACAGTGAATAATACAATAAAAAATATTTACCGAAAAAAGTTAAAAAAAAAGAGCCATGAAAATATTATGCATCTATGAACCATCCAAACAACCGAAATTTATTTTATAAGAAATACTTTTTATGAAATACATTTTCAAGGAAATAGATTTTTCCAGGTATTATTTTTTTATAGAGCAATGCAAATCCATCTCCATTTACGAACCAATTATTTAAAAAACAAAATTAATACACACAATCACGCACTCACCCATGCAGAAAGGATCGAATAGAGGGGGACAACTCCATAGCAAAAATGTCAGAAGAAATATGAAGCCCAACGAACAGTGAAAACCAGAATTTTGCATTCAAACCCATCCATGGGCCCGAATATGGAAACGTGCACGCGCTGACACCGAGAATTTGATTCAAAATTGAAAAAACTTAACCGAGAGAGAGAGAAAGAGAGCCACAATTTAAATCAGAATTGAAAAAACTCGACCAGAGAGAGAGAGGCACAATTTAAATCAAAATCGAAAAAACTCAACCAGGGGGAGAGACAAGATGGAATACACAATAGTTTAAGATGGAAGAATTTGAACAAGTGCAGCCTCTACATAACCACAACCATCATCACTATCTGGTCCTGACCAATAACCAACCAGCATGTGAATGCCTGAAATTACAGCCTCTATTCCATAAGCAACCTCACAAATCAACCTCCGGGGCACCAAGCAATGAGATATATCACGCAAATGCAGTCCCTTGAATTGCATGGAATCATCAATTTGATTTGCTGGACTTTCAATCTCCTCATACTCTTCATCTACTAAAAGCCCAGGCTCTGGTCTTTTAAAATCTAAACACTTTTTGATTTTTTTGACCAAGCTTCTTTCGTATATGAAACCGAGTTCGTTTGTGGAAAGCTCGATGAATGCTGTGCCTAAAGGTTAAAATGTCAATGCAAAAAGAATCTTCTACTGAATCATCGAAGTGTAGCAAAGAGAGATGTACACGGATGATTGAATCTAGCTATTCTTATAGTCAACTCACCGTTTGGAACTGTCCCCACTACGTTGATAAGCTGCTTTTCTGGCATAAGGGATAGCATATGCTGCAAAAGCAAATGAACAAAAAATGATATTTGAAACTTAAATTGCGCTAGAAGACTCCTGCATACATTGAGAAGTCATAAGTGGAAAAAAAAAGTGTCAAAAAGCATTGTCTCGAAGACACTCAAAAGTCCTCTTCGCATAACCAATTATGCAATATCAAACAAACCAATTGTCTTTCATGCCTTAAACACAATGAGAAAGGAGTATTGATTTAAGACATGCAAGCAATCCGTACATTTATGAGGGACATCACTATTGTTCAAATGCCTAGAGGGATTTATCATAAGTGATACAATGAAGATATGCAACAAAGCAGCCTGGCCAACAAACCACCTAGGCTAGGCATAGGCAATGGGGTCTGGGTGGGCATGCCTAAGGCGGGCGCCTAGGCAGTTTGGGCGCCCACCTAGTGCCTTCCCTTCAAAAAATTAAAAATAAAAATAAAATAAAATCTACCCTAACAACAATCAAGCTTGGTATTGCCCTTCTCTCTCTATCACTCTCTCTCTCAAGTCCATGTGCTCTCTACATATGAAAAGAAGAAGAAAAAAAAGATGGACTCCAAGTGTTTGATGCGTGGCCTCTCTTTCTCTCTCACACACAGACACACACAAAGATACACCTGGACCCATATGCTCCCGCTGTGCATGTAAGAAGAAGAAAAAAAAAACCTACCAAGTGTTCGATGCGAGGTCCCTCTCTCTCACAGACTTTCTCTCTCTCTCTCTCTCGACATATCCTCAAAGTATTTGAGACTTCACTCACAAATACAGATCCAAAAGAAAAAAAACTGAAAAAAGAGGATGATCTTTAAGAATTATATGCAAGACCGCATGCACATAAACTTACTAAATACATGCACACAAATATTCACTAAAAACACACAAAACAACTTATGACCCCTACTCAACCCCCTTCCCTTAGGGCCACCCAGGTATCTGGGTGCCCGCCTAGGTGGCTCAGACCCCTGGCCGCCTAGGCAGCCGCATCTGCCTTCTTGAACATTGATATGATCTAAATGATCATCATAACAACATGCTCATAAGGGTGATCACTAACTCATCTATAGGTTGGATGAAGATGGAGGGAGAATGGGAATTCTACGTTCAACTCTCCCTCCATATTGGTTCCAAGTTCCAACCCACTGTTCGAAAGTGATAACCCTTATGATGATGCTGTTAGCTAGACCATATGGATCATGCCATACGTAAGAGACAAGGAAGTATGCAAAGAACTTGGGTTCGAATCTCCCTCCCCTGATGCCCTTAAACACTAGGACCTCTCTCTCTCTCTAATTTTTTTTTTCCTTTTTGTTATTTAATGAAAAACAGGTAGGGGGCCTTCTCCCCCACTGACTTACCCAAAAAAGAAAAGACAAAAAGAAGTATGCAAAGTAGAAACATATGATGTTCAAAGCCTTTCCCATTCAACTGACTGTGTCACATGAACACCAAATACTAATAATAATAGCGAGATAGTTAATTATTCTAGTCCCTTAATTGACTGATGTCAGGAAGATTACACGTTCCATTTCAAGTCTGAGACTTGCACAAACTGAGTTTCAACTTTTGACTAGAACAAACTGAGATGGATTATTTAAGCATTAGTATTACAGCTTAAAGATACAGAAAAAAGAGGAATAAACAGTCATTTCGTTGAAATTATAAGGATTTGATCATGGTATAATTATTAACCTCTTAGTACTCTTTATCTTGAACGAAAAACATAGCATTCTAGGAGCTCATGAAGTTATGCATATGCTCACCAGATGCATGCTATGGGTCATAGAATAGCACAACCATCGAAGCTAAAGTTGGTTTTGAAATGGTAGAGGCATGTGCCTCAAGTCCATGTGAAATTTTCACAAGGCATGGGCAGTTAAGGTCAACAGCTTGCATTAGCATACAGAGGAATGGTGGATATATTCAATCATATGATTGGGCTTATCTCCAACCACTAAAAAACTCGGTTTTAATATTGTAACACTTGCTAGAGTCAACTCAAGGCACCTGACAAGTCATAAAACAATTACGTTTTCCATAGAAAAAAACTCAACTGAGTCGTAAGATTTCCTGAGTTTTTTATAAGACTAAATCAGATCCTGAATCATCGTTTTCTTTAATATGTTATTGGGCTATGATACAAGTTTTACTTGGATAGGACTTGCCAAGTCAACTGAAGACTCAGTGAGCCGATCAGAACTCAATCCTGATCTACTCCACAACCTTTGTTTTCATAATCAATGAAGAAAGAGGAAAGGAATGTCAGGTTGCATCAAGGACACAACCAAGGGTAGTAACCTGAAAAGGTAGGGTTCAAGGGAAATCATAAATATCGCTATGGATAGGGACCCTTCTTTCTTTTAAAATTAAATTAACTAGTCTCAAGAAGTAAAGCACCTCTCTTTTGAATGCCTCAAATTTATAGCTCTCCTTCATGATGAAGGACCCTTGACAAGTACATGGCAGGTGTAAATTTGCACAAACCAAGTGTACAATGAGTAACAGTACAATATCGATGAGTAACAGTACAAGATCACATATCCGGTGAGCTTAGAATGGAAGTGAGGATTTGGATATTGAGTGCTCGGAAAGAACAAGTTTGGCAAGGATGAACGGTAAAAGATGGTGTGTGCTCAACATCAAACCTAAAAAGTAAGAAAAGTATGAGACAAAGGAAAACAAAATACGCTTTGAAGCATCAGTTCGGCAACAATGTACCCTGCCTACAATTAACTAGAAAACTACCCGTATAACATCTTTGTTCAGTTAAGTAATACCATTGATGTTGCAATGTTTCTGTGCCAAAAAAAGGCTACTTAACTCCAGGGCCCCAGGGATTAGGTAGTGATCCATGAACAAAGATGCTAGACTGCTATGCAGGAAGAAAAATGAGATGGCATCTATCTAGAGGAACATAGTTCAAGTTAGAAATCTTTGTTCAAAGTGGGTCAAACAATGAGAAGTATATAAATTGTCTGTGTCCACCTACAACCTAGAGATCATATTCGACAATAGCTTAAAAAAATGAGATGGCATCAATCTAGGATATTTAGTTTGAGTTGCAGATCTTTGTTGAAAGTGGGTCAAACAACAAGAAATATATAAAACTAGAGGAATGTAGTTTGAGGTGGAGATCTTTGTTCAGGTTTTTTTAAAATTGTACCTAACACATGTCAACCCTGTTCACACAAGATTTTCACACTAATCTTTCAACACCAAATCATGTTCTTTTTACGATATACTATCAACACAAATGCAAATTAAGGGTTTCATGGCATCTCTGGGTTTTGTCTTTCATGATCAACAAACCTGACCTATAAGAGAAGATCTCTCCTACCATCTTCAATAAGATTATGTTAGAACCAAATTCAAACATCTAAGTAGGAGTATGAAACAAGATGCATTGCATCTCTGTTGTCACCTCTATTGTTGAAAAAATGCCAATAATTTGCAGAATCTAGTGTACAGTGCAACATTTGTAGACAGTGATATATGTATTTGGTTTTAAGTTCGGCTAAAGATGGTGGATGTTTCAAAACCATACTTAACTGGAAGGCCTTCAATGTTACAACCTTAAGGTTGTGGCTTCAGACTCTAAACATGGCTACCAAAAGAGAGAGAGAGAGAGAGAGAGAGAGAGAGAGAGAGAGAGAGAGAGAGAGAGAGAGAGAGAGAGAGAGAGAGAGAGAGAGAGAGAGAGAGTAGTAGTAGAGTAGTACGTACGTACGTACGTACGTAACGTAACGTAACGTAACGTAACGTAACGTAACGTAACGTAACGTAACGTAACGTAACG